TGACTTCCTGCCCTTTGGGCGGGGGGCTGGACTCGATGATCTTCCGAGGTCCCTTCCAGCCCTGATGTCTATGAAATCTATAAATCTATGAAAACAATCATATTTTCTGTAGTTCTTGATCTTTTTAGCCACTTCATTTTGACAAAACATCTGGAATCAAATCACTTGCACTTAGCATAAAACATCTCCCCCCCCCAGCTCACTGCTCTCCCTTGCAAAACAAGACGAAAACCCTCAAACAGCTGCACCTGGAGCTAGCCCAGTTGCAACAATTAAACAATCCCTTGGCCAAATCTTATGCCAAAGAATAAAAACAAATGTGGGAAAGCACCCTTCAGTCCCAATCATAAATTTGCCTTGATACTGTTCCTGTTACTTAAATGACTGTATTGTACAAATGTTTAAACATTTCTTCCTTTAAAGAGCACTGCTGCACCCTCAGTTATCCAGGCAGCTTGCCCAAGCTGTATATAACTCTGGTACCATGCATGTGAGCATTTACTGCAGGGACAGCAAAGGTTTGTTTCTTGGGTTCTTTGGAAGTGTGGTCAGATCTTTTTGTCATGCATCATTTCTGAAAGCTAGAGCTCATGTTGTAGCTGTGACAGGGTCTACACCATATTCTGACAGCTCTGCAGGGAATTTGTTAATGTAATCTGCCAGAAACAATGTTTGGGTTTTTTTAACTAAATTCTCTTCCAGATTGTAACCTGTTCGGGGCAGAGGACATCACTTTATTCTCAGGTTGTATATAGTATATCACCATGGGATCCTGGTTTCAGCTCCTGAGAACTAGACCAACATTATTGCCAGCTATGTTCAAGTTCCCCGCCTCAGCTTTCACTTGGGTATTACAGCAAGGGCTAAGACTGAACCACTGTAGGCAACTTTACAGGGGAAAAACAAATCACTTTCTCCATCTTGTCTTCACACTGCTGTGGGCATGAATGAAATAATGTTATATGAATGCTCATCTTAAATGGCACTTCCTCTTTGTGTAAGATGAGGTCTGCTTTCTTTCCCGGCTGAGTTGTTGGAAAGTTGCATGGTCCCAGTGACTCCAGAATGCTGCTGAAGTGGAAAGACAGCCATTTTGGCCATCCAGCAAAAGAGGTAATGTGGTTTGCCACTCAGTTCATACATTTTGATTTGTCTCTGCTGTGTAATTAAACTAAGGAAGGGGAGGCCCAAGTTTGCAGGCCTGTCTCTTCGAAAGCTCTGAGCTGGGTGCAGATTCAGATGACTGCATTCAGAAATAACTTTCATGCTACAACCTGCCAGTTGCAGTTGGAAAGTCCCATGTGACTTTAAGTGGTTGAATAATATATATTATGCCTCACTGGGGGGTTATCCCTCTCAAGCAGTCTCACCTGGCATAGCTAGGAATGGCATTAGAAGTTAAATCTCAGTTGCTTTCCTTTAAACTAAATACAGTGATGCTCCTTCCTGCATATTGGTCTCAGGGCTTTTGCAATAAAATCTTACCCTAACTGTGTAGGTGGTGGCAGGAGGGCTCGAGAATTTAAACCCCAGTTGATTTTCTTTTAAAATAAGTTTGGATTTCCCAGTTGGACTGGCTGTCATCTGCTCTCTGGTTTTGGCTAGTGCAGGCCCAGATTGGGACAACTCTGCTGGGGAAAGTGTTTGAGAGAGATCACTCACACTCAGTTCAAAGCCATTGGGCATAAGGAGCGCTAGTGGGTGATGATACAGCTAGATTCCCGTTTCAAAAACACAGGTCTCCCTTCCTCTTTTGTAGGAGGGAGTCTGAGACACTTGGAAACATGGGTGAAGCCATTGCCTGTTGCCTGATATGGGTAGCAGCATCCCCATCACCAAGAGGGAACCCCACAGTAAGCCCTGCAGCATTCGGTGCTAAGAGGAGCTGAGCTGAAGGTCCTTCCAGGATGATCCTGAAGACTTCTTACTAGCCTGTATTGTCTCTTTCCTGGTTCAAGAGGGAGAGGGCAGTGCTGAGATGTAGCAGCATGGGATGATTATGAGAGATGAATCCAGTGAACCCTGACTGGTCAATCATGATCACTGGCAGCTGAGGAGGGATGTGTGGCCTCAAATGACTCATGGACCTCTCTTTAGGTGTGCACCTGGAGTTCCTTGTTAGCACAGCAGATACCACCTTCAAGCATGTCCACATGGAGTGACTTAATGCACCTGCATGAACAGCATCATACAAAATTAGATCTAGAAGGGACCCCAGGGAACCTTTCACCTCAGGATAGGATCATCCCTTTGTCTAAACCACCCCAGCTAGGGTGGTTTATCTAACCTGTTCTTAAACTGTTGAAGGTAGATATACCACAACATCTTTATGTAATCTGTTCCAGTGCTGAACAACCCTCAGATTTAGAAAGTTCTTCTTAATACCCAATCTAAATATCCCTTGATGAAATTTAAGCACATTACTTCTTGCCCTGTCCTCTATGGGCACAAAGAAAAGTTGATCACTATCATCTATATAACAGTATTTTATGTATTTGAAGACTTATCAAATCTTCTGAATGCTAAGCAACGCCAGTTCTTCTCATATGTCACCTATCTTTTTGACTGCTCTCCTTTAGAGTTTCCAGTTTATGTCTTTCTTGAAGTGCAGCAACCCATAATGGCACAGTACTTTACATGAAAGGCTTCATTATTGCTGAACAGAGTGGAAGAATCACTTCCTGTGACTTGCAAGTGACATTCCTGTTAACAAACCACAGGATATTATTGGCTTATGTAACAAGAGCATGGCAAACCACAGGATATTATTGGCTCATTGTCATCTTCTTCACTATAGTCCCAGGTCCTTTTCTGCAGTATTGTAGCCCAGCCAGCTGTTCCCCCATCTGTATTTGTGCATGTGATTACTCTGTTTGAATGGCAGGATTTTGCATTTGTCCTTATTCAAATTTCATCTGATTAGTTTCAGACCAATTTTCCAATTTGTCAAGAGTATCTTAATTCTAATCTTATTTTCCAAAGTTGTCTTGACGTTATCTATAGATTTACAATGTGTGCACTCGATCCCATCTTCCAAGTCATTAATGAAGATCATAAACAGTACCAGATCCAGGAGAGAGCTGTGGTGAACCCCTCTTGGTACTTCCTCCCAATCAGACATGGAGTCATTGATGACATTTCTTTGAGCATAATTCTGGTAATCTGATCTGGAACTTGACTGCCCTCATTATTAGCAAATTATTCCTAATATCCAGTTTAAACCTCCCTTGTGTAGACACCATTTTTCCCAAGCACCCATCCTGAGTTTGATGGTCAACACCAGCAGCAACCAAGCGGAAGACCCTGAGGCCAGGGCTAGGGAGAGAGAAGAGCATGATTCAGAGAGGGTTTTTGTATAGCTCTCAACAGCCCTTAGGCTGTTGAGAGCATGTTGTGAAAAGTCATGTGAGGAAACACACCTCTTCCTCCCTTAGATACTGTGCATTTAGTTTAGTACTTGCTTAATAAAGAACTAACTAAATGCAAAGTAACTAGAGTTACTGTGCAGTAGCATGGTTATTTTGTGACACTTACTGCACATTAGCCTAATAACCCTGTGCACTAGGCTATTAGCATGGTTTTTAACCACTGCGCTACTGTGCAGTGTTATTAGGTTAATGCACAGTAAACCTCTTGTGTAGATGTGCCCAGGTAAACTGATCCACAGAAAAGTGAATTCAAACTGGCTGCTTCTGGACTGACACATCTCATTTCAACCATCTGAAATGTTTGGGGTCCATAAAGTTGTTTCTCTGTTTTATAATTTGAATATACTGGAACATTTTGTCTTTTGACATTTTTAGATATTTTATCTCAATGCAGAACAGAACTCAGTACTGAAACACCAGGATCTCCGTTAGAAATTTTCCAGCTAGTTCTAGTTTCTTGCCCTTGTGATTAAAGAAACCTATTCAAAACCATAACCAAGGCCATCTTAAAAGCTCAGAAACCACAAGAGACCTCTCCCCACACTAAATTCTTCATTAAGTCCTTTTTTGAAGTCAATTTCTTAATTAATGAGGGCCTAAATTGGGGGTGGGGGGGGCAAGGTTGGGTTTTTTTAAGTGATTGGGATTGATAAGGCTGGGGAGGGGTAGGTATGAAGCCAGGTGGTTACAATAAAGGATTGGCATCTAATTAGATACAGGAGAAACTTTACACAAAGGGCTAGGTCTCACATACTCACAGCTTTTCCCCTTCTGCTGATGGAAAAGCTGCTCTGTGTGGGTTAGGTCACCTTGGCTCCTGAACAGCCTTAAGTCTGGGGAGGGACTGCTGGTCTCTGGTTAGGGGCAATGGTTCCCATTCTTTCTTTAGCAGTTGGTTTATTAGTGATTTTGCAAAAATAGGCCCAGAGATGCCATCCTGGGAGAATTCACTGCCTGGCACAGGTGCACGAAAGGGAGCTAGCCTCACACCTTATTTTGTTTCAGAGCTAAAGTTCCAGATGCTATCCCCATGCTCTTCCTGACAGGGCTATTGTGCATCCTCAGCAGCCCCGGACTAGAGAGTGATGGAGCTCTCCTCACAGCTCCCTTTCTCTACCATCTCACAAAGCCCTGGTGGGGCCAACATTTGTGCACTGAGCTCCCTGCAGCTAGAGTGGCAAGTCTGGATGTGTACGGTATCTCCTGAAGGAGGAGAAGCTGTGGAGGTACGGGGCACACCTTGCTGAGTTCAGGCCTCTGAGAAGTATTATCTCTTTGTGGCTTTCAGGCCTGCCAAGACTTCAGTTTGCAGTCACCCCCCATTACACTAACACCTACAAACCCCAAACAAGCCTCTCAACCCTCTGGTACATAATGCTGCACACACACAAGGCAAATAAGGTAATCCCCCAGGAGAGGGACTCCCAGGATAAGGGTCAGGTGGGTACTGCAGACAGAAGACGTAGCAGTGGGGAAGAGCTTGTTTGGCCCAGTCATCTTCCAGTAAGAGGCAGCACTGCAGCAACACTGATAAGCTACAGGATTACATCTTTCTGCTGCCCCTGCTGAAAGGATCCATTTGCACTGCTGCCATAACTTGGACTTTTAACTAGGTCACTTAGATATTGCTAGCAGTACCCAGCACCAACTGCAAAGCCTAGCTAGGAAGCTGGGTAAACAGTCAAGCTGTTAATCTGTGCTGAGCTCCATGCCACTGTAACTGCATTGCCAGCAATACCTATGCTAGCTTGGGTAGGTCTTCAAAAGCAGTAGCCAAACTCTGCTAAAATCCATCTAACCCACACACCTCTAGTCTGGCCCAAGGTTTCTGTCTTTTATCCTGGGGCAGGGTGGGCAGGATCATTCCCTCCATGACAGCCAATCCTTGCCTCCTTGGGTCTCAGCTCCTTCTCCAATGAAAGGCTTATGAAGGTTTAGTAAGTGCAAGCAGGAGTTGTGGGTTAGGCAGTAGTAGCAAGCAAAGCTGATGCTTTTGAGAGTGATTAGATTTGCTGTAGGTACTAGGAGGGAATGAGGAAATGTAGGGTCTGGAGGGTACAGGAAAAGTTGAGGGGCTAGATGAAAGCACTAAAATACTGGGAGGGCTAAGGTAGGAGGGGAGTGGTTTGTTTTTTTTTTTTGCTTCTGCTGGCCAGGATTACCTGAAAGGTGGTTCCAAAGAGGATGAAGCTTTACTGTTCTCCGCAGGTAGCAGATAACAGAACATTAAGCAGTGGTCTTAAGTTGTAGCAAGGGAAGTTTAGTTTAGATATTAGGAAACAACTTTCTCACTAGGAGGGTAGTAAAGTACTGGCACAGGCTACCCAGAGAGGTTGTAGAATCTCCATCCTTGGATGTTTTTTAAGACTGGGCTAGACAAAGCCTTGGGTAGGATGATATAGTTGGGGGTGGTTCTGCTTTGAGCAGGGGGCTGGACTAGATATAACCTCCTGAGGTCCCTTCCAGTCCTCATTTTCTGTGATTCTATGACTGCTTTAGAAGGGAGTCTGGCATTAGGTCATGGTGCTGGATTAGCTAGCGCCGTGGCAAACTGCTGTTTATAACCTCAACAAACTCAGACTCTGCCAGACCCTGAGCTCCACACCCAAGTGCTAATTGCTTGTTAAGCTGGACCTTGTTGTGGGACCCAACCTTGTGCAGTTAGGAGAATGCACTGCACCTGTATCTTCTCTTTCCTCACTGCAGAGCACGGGGTTCAGACTGCAGATTTGTTCTCTCTTTTCAGATGGACCCAGGGGAAGACTTGATGTTCCCTGATCTCCAAGACTCCAGACAAAGCATCATCCCGGGAAGTCCCTGCATAAGTGAGGAACAGCTGTTGTCAGGTAAGTCACTGACAGTAAGTGAGGGTAAAAGGCTGGAATTCTAGCTGGCTGTGAAAAGCTCCCTTAAGTCTGTCTCCTTTCTCCTGTTCTCTATCTGGTTTGTTAGAGCTGGGCTGGGGTTATGTGCTTTCTTCTCATCTGGGGTTCTAGCACCTATTCAAAAATAAGAAATGTTTGGATGTCCCTGCCCTGCCCCCTTTTGTTTCCCTTTGTCTACAGTTGGAAAGAAGTTGAAAAAGTTAATGGGGGCCTGCTCAGCTGGAGCATCTTTAGGGTGAGGTTGGGGAGGGAGAAATGGTGGCCTTGCTTTGGACTGTGAGGCACAGTCCTTCTAGGATCTTGGGAGCATATACAAATTTATTGCTTCTCTGCAGTGGCAGGACATTGGCAGTGCCCACACCTCCCCTGCTTTTCCATATGGAATATTGCAGGGTGCTCTTAGTGTGAAGGCTATGGTGCCATGTAGCTCTGTGTGTGTGTGTGTGTGTGTGTGTGTGTGTGTGTGTAAGGGTGCAAAGGGGTGGCTTTGGTGAAACCCTTGGGCAATGGCTGCACGGGGGACTAGACTCAGTTACCCAGAAGGGTAACTGAGTCTAGTCCCCCGTGCAGCCATTGCCCAAGGATTTCCATCCTGTGCTCTCTTTCCTTCTCAGAGAATTTGGGAGACTGGCATTTCCCCACTTCTTGCTTCACTGTCAAGGGTCTGGAGGAGAGCAGGGCAGGTGGGGAAGGCTGCAGACAGGTGACCCCTACCTCTGTCAGCCACTATGCTCAGTTTGGGGCAGGAGGGAGCAAGGGAAGAGACTACCTGGCTTGTACGACCCTAAGTTTAGTTCCCATTTTTCTGCTCCATCATAGCTGTGGTGCTTTCAGTCCCCTTTCTATGGAACTCCAGCCAGCTCTGCACTAATGCATTGTGTGCTGGAAACAGAACCAAAATCTTCCTGTTTTTCTCACCTTGTACAGTTTTCTCATGAACATACTGTATATTGGAGAGAAGCTCAGGTCCCTGGGGATGCAGAGGGAGTTAAATTGCAGGGAATCTCTGAAATGATCAAGATGGTAGAGGGTTTGTGTGCTGAGAGAACATGAATAAGTAGCTAACATGAGCACCATTCTTTTCCTTTCCTTTCCTTTCCTTTCCTGCTTTCTGGGCTGTATTTCCAAAGTGTGTTCCTGGGCTCACCTCTTTATGAGAAGCGATGCATCTGTTTTACCCCTCCCTCTGCCCCTTTCCTTCTTATCTCTTCTTTCCATCTGTTCTCTCATCCTCTGTCCCCACTTTCACTTGCATTTGATGCCAAGTTGGAAGTCTTGCAAACTGTGAATGTGTTAGGTGTCATGTGTGGAGGTGGGAGGGGGAGCGAAATATGGACCCTTTTTATTCCAGTAGGTGACATTAATACAAGTGAAAATGAGGAGGAGAAATTAAGCCAGGAAGGTCCTGAGCAAAACGGGTTGTCTGAGCCATGTGTAGTGCTGAGTCCTGACAGGAGCAAAACCAGGCCAGAAAGACAACCGAGGAACAGAGGTGTTAAATCTACTCCCCAAGCAAGAGGCTCCAAGAAACTAACAACTATTGCTAATCCAGAGAGACCCCAAGCAGAGGAGAAGCCCTATAAGTGTATAGACTGTGGGAAGGGTTTCAAGGGGCACTCTGCCCTCTCTACCCACCTACAGATCCACACAGGGGCCAAACCCTTCGAATGCACCAAGTGTGAGAAGAGCTTCAACAGGAAGGCAAACCTCATGGTTCATGAGAGAATCCACACTGGGGAGAGGCCATATCAATGCAAAGAGTGTGAGAAGAGCTTCGGCTGCAGCTCAAACCTCATTGCGCACCGAAAAACCCACCTGAAAAAGAAACCTTACACTTGTGTCACGTGCACCAAGAGCTTTGCCACCAGCGCGGCCCTCATCCAGCACCAGAGGGTCCATGTAGAAGGGAAACTTTTCCAGTGCACCAAATGCACCAAAAGCTTCCGTCTGAGCTCCAACTTTATTAAGCATCAGAAAGTCCATGCAAAAGACAGCCCCCGTGAACATACCACAGGTAACTCGTGCTCAGGGCAAATGCGTGGGGGGGGGGGGGGAAGGAAATTCCATTGGTTCAATTCTAAATGCCACACAGACCCACAGGCCTATTTGTTACATGTGGGGATCTGTGGGGCTCAGCCCACAAAGAAACAGGTGGCCTCATCTGTTGTTTAGAAGGAGCTAAGTGTATAACTATTGGATACTTCAGGTAACTAAAGTGAAAATAGGGAAGGGAATGGGTTAAAGGTTAATGAGTGCTCCAAGCAGGGTGGGGGCACTGAGAAGAGCATGCTTGGCCAACGCCCGCTGGTCCTCAAACAAGTCCAGGGACACAGCACAGTGGACACCACAGAGTGAAACTGCCTGGAGATGTGAATGGATGAGGGACATGAAGATGGCCCCACAGTCACCAGAGATCCTCCTGGCCAGAGCCTCCTTCTGGTCAGATATATGGCCAGCTTTGCAAATGCCAGGAGGAGGTTGGCCAGGAGGTCCCAGGACTTGGTGGGGCCACAGATGGGGAGTGCAGAAAAGAAAAGGTGCCAGGAGTAGTGCAGCCAGAACCAATATAAGAGGTTCTTGAGTAGGCAGTGAAGAGGCTGCTACCTGGTGCACTTGAGGCATTGTGTGCCACCGTCTCCTCTCTACTGACAGAAGGGGCAGGTGTCAGGGGTAGCCATGAAATGCACCAGGTACACACCTGCACAGATTTGCAGAGAGCAAAGTGCGCAAGTTCATGTGTCTCTGACCATTTCCACTTCTCACCACCCCCACTTTATTTTTGAGCAGTGTAATATAGCAGTGCTTCTATCAGTCTCTTAAGAAAAAGCTCTTAATGCTAGAAGAACAGCTTTAGTGTCAAAGCCTTTTTCTTTTTTACCTAAGGAGGCTCAAACATTCAGTAAGCAATATAACAAAAGACTTAAACCCACCTACACTTCCAGTGGAAGGACTAGAAAAACTAGCTTGCTTTCCAGAGAGATCTTTTGTAATGTATGTGGAGTAGAACTATCCTTGGCTCTTATACTCGGCATACTAAAGCAGGCTATTACTTCAGGGCAGTTTTCTGTACACATCTTTATAATCTTGCATATTTTTATACAATAAAATCTGGGTAATTTGTCACTCCAGGGGGTTTGGTAATTATGACTAATTATCCCAGAGTGACTAATCATCAGTAGCTAGTTATTTTCAGCTTTTTTTTGTTATGAGATGTATGCCACATCTTTGCACGCCATATTGAGACAAGAGTAAAGAATGATTTTTGATGGAAAAAATATATCATGCAAATTTTTGGAGTGCAAATTATACATACAGTGGCTCACTCTGTGAGAACTGTAGTCATACAGACTTTCACATGTCTAATTTCTTACTGTACAAACCTAGAGTGCTCACTATGTAGTATTTAAATGTTATTCCATCATAATCAGATGAAGATTTTTTGCTTTGCACTCCTCAATGTACTCAGTGCCAAAATACCAGATGATTCTGCAAGTTACTAGAGAGGGCATAGGTCAGTGCTGACCAATTAGCAGGAGGAAATTCCATTGTGATTTAGTATGTATGTACATTTGGAAATTACACAATTACGCTTTAACAAATGATGAATTAGCCAGAATGTTTTGTGTTCAAATCGATAGGATTCTGGCAGGGATTCAATGCACGGACTAATAAACCCATAGTGATAAATTAACCTACTGACTAGTTAGCCAACTTGCACTGTATAAATAAAACTTGCTGGGTCAATCTATTTAAAAAGCAATATATTGTTTATAATAGATGACTAGAATAGGGTTCAGGCAGTATCACAACATCATTTTTAACAAACTTGTGAGAAAAGGCCTTTTAAAAAAAACCCAAAAACTTTCACACTGCTTATCTGTGGATTGGGGATTGACAGGCTAACTGAGTTAGCTTGCTAGCCTTCCCAAGGTGAACTGTGAAGACCATACTAGACTTCCCATTCCCAATATTGATAAAGTTAAAAAACCCTAAAGCAATACTTCATGAGCTTTTTTAAACAGATAATAAGTGGAGCTATGCTGTCTTTCTGCAATGGCAAGATACAGAGATGCCAAAGGAATATAGCATGAATGCAACACTGGTCCTACTTAATAGGTGGATCTTACATATTAAGTAGCAGGTATTGAACCTCCACTGTAAAATGCAGTGTGCTGCCCTGTATAATGCACCAAAAGATGCACATACTGACTTCAGTTTGTAGATTCACCTAGGATACATGTTTGTCTTCACCACATTTGAAGTGAATCAGAAACATAGTTCAAGAATTATCACCTTCCCCACTAACACTTATTCCCCACCCCCCACCAAAAAAAAAATTACTAAATTTGACGATGTCTTTGTTTAACTCAAAGGAGGATGTAGGTGGGTGTAGAAAGGAGACTTCTTTCTGAACTGCAGCAGCTGAAGCAGAAAATTATATAAGGAGGAAAATTTTAAATATAATGATATGGTGGGAAAAGCTTTTTATGCCATGAATGAATCTCTTTTGCTCTAATGCAATTAATGTAGATCATAGTGATTGCTGGTAACCTTAAATAAAGGGAGTGGGAATGAGATTCAGCTACCTCACGTGGTATGTGCCTGGTCAACTTTATCAGTATAAAACAGTGCCATGTTGGTCTGGTGGAAGGCAGTAGAGAACTGGACACTCAAATGCAAACCCTCTTCCTTTCCAATATTGACTGTTCAGCTCGTAGGTTTGCCTGACACTTAGCGCACAATTTCTGTTGGATGTGAAGGTGCTGTTTAGAAACCTCTATTATGCTATTTTCTTTCTGTAGAACTAGCATTTCAGGAGAAGAAACCAAGCGGTGGTGCAGAGAAGGTTGCCCTGGACCAGTCAAAATTGCTCCTTGAGGAATGTAAGTATGAGCAGACTTCAGAAATGCCAGGCATTGTGTGCATGCATTTGAAACTAGAAACTAATGTCGTATCTTCTTTGTACAGTGAGGAGAATGAGGGAGAATGTGGATATGCTTCTCCTGAATCAGCAGAGTCAGTTACAAGTTCTGCAAGAGATTCAGAAGCAGCTGAGCATCCTCCTCCCAGGCAACGATCTCATTAACTCAAATGTATACAGCTTGGGGCTCCTGCTGGGACAGCAGGCAGCTGCAATGGCCTCTCTGTCTTGTCCCCAGCTACTTAATCCCAGCAGTCTTCTCCCCAGAAGTGCCCGGCCTCTTTCATCCCAGTCATCCACTTCTGAAGTGTTCACCCCTGTCCTGCCCCCACTCTCCCAATTCTCTCTTACTCGTCCAGCTGCTTAGCACTCCTTGTACTGCCAGTATATCAACTGCAACTTCATGTGGGTGCTTTTTTGTATTGATTTACTCTTCAATAGGAAGGGCTAGGCTTGCCCACAGGAAGTCACAATCATGGTCTCTCTCCAAGTGCTGTAGTAGTGACCCTGACTGTGAGTCTGGAACACTCTTTACCAAGATGTACTTAGCAAGCTTGTAGTAGGGGAGGTATAATCCATCCTGTCTGCCCCTTGTAGTAAGTGGTTTGAGAGAGAGAGAGAGAGAGAGGGAGATATAGATATAGACGTGTTTCATGTGACCCAAATGTGTTCTTCATTCTGGAGCAGATACAGGGAGAGTACCCTCTCTCTGGTGCTGTATGAAGCGTTTGGTAACTGGCCCTTACTGAGATGCGCATGAAATTTTAACCACAGCATACCTTGCAGATATGCCCTTAGTAGCAAGCTGAAAGCAAGGACACAATCGTTGAGGATGAATTAGAGGGACTTGCGTGAGGGCTGCTTAAATGCATCTAAGCAAGATGATCTGAATGGGCATGCAGTTGAGCAGGATGTCCTTACATGAGAGAAACTTTACTGAGGCTTCTTTAATTTGGCAAGATGTTAAATTATGCAAGCAGAATGGCCCTCTACGTCTACTAGTTGGCTTTGTTCATATTGCTTTAGATTTAGTCATTTCTTTTTGTTTGTTTTTGGAGACTTCTCAGTGAAGAGGTTTAAAAACCCATGCCACTTCATACAGCGCTCTTAGTGGTGGTCAACCACAATTTTTGTTTTAATCTTTTTTTTTTTTTCCCCCTTTAAAGACACTATTCTTTAAATGTGCTGTAGTGGCAGAGAGGAAGTGTTGCTTGTCTGGTGTTTTAATAGGTAGCTAACCTTTTCCGGCATAATTCATTAGGGGAATGGATTGTGACCCTTAAAGATGCCCAGCCTTCCAGTCCACATCCCAAGAAAATGACTGAGACTTGCAGAGAGAGAAAGCTCAGCTCCATCGTTCACAGCTGGGACTCAGTGCCCGTGGGAGTCGCTATGAGCTAGGTCAAGTCTTGAGAAAGAAAGGAGTAAGCAGAATGGCGATAGGATAATCCTTCCTTTGGCACAGGCTACAGCAGTACTAGACTTAAGAATGGCAAGGCATGAGGGCACCCATTATACCAAACCCCCATGTGAAGAATCATAGGCATAAAGCAGTTCCCTTAGACTCATGGGCCAAACATGATTTAGTTCGTAGTTTCTTGTTGTTTATTAGGAGATGTGCACCTTGTTGAAGCATCACTTTTACACCCCCCCTTCCTGCCCTTCCTGTTTACATTATAGTGACAGATTTGGATTTTCCACATGTGGAGGAGCACTTTGCTCCACAACTAGGCCTGTTGTAAAATTAAAACATTGCTTTTGCTTAGAAGTAAAAGTAGAAGTCCTGTGTACACTACTTATGTCTCTTCTGTAGTCCAAGAGTGAGGCGAGGTGCTTATGCCCTTTGTGGCTTAGATGCTTTGCTGTACTGTGCTGCATGTGCTTTTCCTCTCATCGCTTTTCATCCTTAATCTGTGCCACTTGCTCACTGGAAGGCTCTGAACATCCAAATCTGTCACACAGGTTCAATGTAACTTTGTTTCTCTCAGGCACAGCGGTCAGTCATAACCCCTCCCTGGAGAGGAAGGAGTTTTAGCTTTGCCCTGCACTCAGTACCAAATGCATTATCCGTCCAGCTGGGGGGACAGCTCGCACTCAAATACCCTACCGACATCTAAATTGTTAGGAACAAACACCTGGCCAACTTTAAAAACAAACAAACAAAAAAAAGAGTGGCTAAACACAGCTAGCTTTTACTGACATTACTCTGACTGCAAGTTCTTCACACTAAATACAGACATTCCTATTCTGTTGGACTGCAACAGTGTTTGTTAGCACTACTTCTATCCTCCTTCTCCCTTGAAGCTCTGAATGACTGACTTAATTCCCAGCCCTGCAGGAAACAGACCCCTAGTCTAATTTGTTAATTGCATGATTCTCCTGTCCTGGATATTGTCTTGCATTCTTACTCCTCCTGCTTGAAGTATGACGTTTTGCTCTGCAACACTGAACAAGAGGTAGCTATGAGACTCAGGCCATGCTGCATTAGAATAGCTAGTTTTCCTTGTGGGGGAGCAAATTTACTCCGGCAGTGCTGTGGCTACACATGTGGACATGGAGATTGTAGGCCCAGAGGAAAGTGCACCTGCTCTTGGGGCAGACATGGGACTTGCCCACATGTATTTGCTGATGCCGGGTCAGGAACAGTGAGCAGCTGAAGCTTCTATTGCAGGCTGTGCCGTAATAAGGGCTCCCTTCCAAGGACTACCCCTGGTCCTGCTTCCCCTGCAAGCTCCAGGTTTGAGGAATCTCCTCTTCTGCTGGATGCTGCTCTTGCAGCTTTTCAGTTCCCTCTGGCCCCCAAAGCTTTCCTTGTAGGCAAAAGAGGCACATCATTTCCTGCTTTTCTCAGTCCTGGCTGACAGGAGTGAGAACCTCCCCAAGACCCTTTTTGCTTTTGTATGGGGTCTCTCTCTATTTGTCACATTGCTCTTCTGGCAATACAACCTATGCTGCCCCTTGTAGGTCATTTGCTACAAAAGGCTTTTTTCTGCCAACTCCCCCAGATAAAGACTGTTGAGCACTTTCTGCAGCAGGCTCCTCCTTGCATCAGCTCAGTGCCTTTTCATTAGCTGATTGGAAGAGGAAATCCATGTATTACTGTGGCACAGGTGACAAAGGAAAAACAGAGCAGCAGCCATAGGATGCAATTCAGGAAGTCTCAAACCTTTCCTCAGAGAAAGGCTAATGCTAAGCATCCACTGACATGAAGGAGTCTCAGGAGGCCTGACTTGATCTGATGTGTCAAAGAAGACAGCTTGGATCTGTTCTAGCAGGGGACTAATTATGTGAACCCCAGAAGGTGCAATTGAAGAGCGGGTAAGCATTGGAGGAGAGGGTGGGGAGTGAGCAGTGGAAATCACAGGAAGAGGGAAAGGAAGAGATGGAATGAAACAAGGAAGAGAGCCTGGGATGTGGAAAGGGGGAAGGACAGTAAAGAAGTGACCATGGGGTGCCTGGCACAGAAAAAGGCGGAAACAATAAGATAACAAAATAAAACTAGGAAAAAAAGAGAAAGTGATACCCAGCTCGAACACAGCACACTGAAAAGTGAAGTATATGGGACACTTAGGGAGAGAACACTCTTAAATTCAGCAGTACAGTGTCCAGAACAGACAGATGGGGCATTTTCCATCCCTTCAACACACAACCCTCCCCCTACCTCCTTGCAATGCGTGGGTTGCTGAACAGCAATTGTGGCCTAGATCTGTCTCTTGGCATAAAGGCTCTAGCTGCAGGGTTTCCTGGCAAATAGCCCTGGACTCTGATCCCAGTGTCCTCCCTCAAGGACAAAGAGCTGTCTGACAAGATACCCTTCCTGGCCCATGCCACAGGGGCTGGGGGCAGGGGAAGTGGTGGGTCTGTCTGGGTAGGGAACAGACACAAGCCTTTTTAAGTCACTTATCCATTGTGATTTCAAAAAGTAGTCTCTGGACAGGAATCGTTCTCAGTGGTCTATAGGGGAGCTCAGGACAGCTCCAGGATGTGTCAAACAGCAATACAAAGGAGCTGCTGACCCTGGGCCCAGAGGCAGCACAAGACATCAAGGTGGCACGTGCGCAGTGGTGCTGAAGGCTCAGGGGAACCACTCAGTGCAGGCCTGGTGCTTTGGCATAATTCAGCTGTAGGGGCTCTGGCTCTACCCCACGTGTGTGAAATGCACAGGCCAGGCCACCCCATCATGAGACTGCTCACATTTAAAAAAACAGCCCTTCATCCCAAATACAGTTTGTTACTTTTGCCAGAAAAAACTCAAATACTAAAAACAAGACACTTGTCAAAGGGGAGCCCATTTACCTTAACACTCACCTTGCTGCAGAGGGGTGAGTGTCACTACCCACTGTCTATCTTTCCTGTACTTTCTCCCTCATGGACTTGCTCTGTGTAGTCACCTGCCCCTTGTATTTCTATCACTCCCTTTCAACCTCCAATCCTTACTTCCCCCATTCACCCACACTCTCTCTGTACCATTTTCAAACCATGTGGGGGAGGGGGGAATTATTTTGACTAAGGGCAGCCTGGCTTCTGTCCCACTGGAAACCTAAGAGACAACCACTGTCCTTGCTAAACGCTCAATTCCAAACCCTCAAGAGAAATAGCACTGATCTGAATTCCAGGAGACTCCATCTATAGTGTGGGAAATAGGATGTCTGCTGCCAAAAGTCCACAAGAATGATTTGGAAACCATGATAAAAGACACACCGAATGCCGGGCATGACACGGCTCAGAGAGCTCAAAAAGCAGCAGGAAAGTAACCAGTCCCCACTGACCAGAAAATGCCCGTGCTTCTCCACGTACTCTGTTTCAAACCCTAATATGAGATGCATCCACGTGGTCAATCCTCCCCACTGATTCCTCTGTTGTGATGGGTCACACAAACACAAGCATCACACCATGACCATGTACCATTCTCCCCCCACCAACCTGCAAAGATCTTGTTCATGGTGAAAGCAGAAGTTGCTATGATAACAGATGGCTTTGTTGCAATCTCAGCTGTTTTACCCTCACTAAAGGTGCCAGAGGTGACATTAAATCACTCCTCACCTATGTAGGCCTCTCTTGGTATCAACCATTCCTTGCAGCCCTGGCCCTCTGGGAGGCATGGCTCTTTGGCTCATTCCATCTGGGAGAACACATGAGGTTTGGGAGTATCAGAAAGGCTGTTGGAAGAAGTGGGGCAAGGAAGACCAAAATTGTTAAGATGGTTATGGAGCATTTGTGACGCATGCATTTTTAGATTTATGAACTGAAGCTGATGGGAGGGAAATGGAATACCCCAGGAGCTCAGAGGACTAATGTAGAAACTTTTGGAGACAGCAAAAAATGGCAGGGAAAGTTGAATTGGTTCCCTTTATGGGAGATGTAAGCATGTCCATAAAAGGGGGACCCAAGGCAGTCCCAGTGCTAATCTACATATTCATTTCTTAATGTAAACAGAGACCAAAACCATCTCTGTGACTGGTCTCCAGTAGCCCCAGGCTGGATGAATAGGGCAATGCTACCTGACTGCGGGTTAGCTGCCACATACAATGATGGGGCTGGGAAATAGAACAGACTCTCTGTGCCTATTCAAACAGTAGTTCAGGACAGTGTGGAGGTGACAGGTTCCCTCAGACTTACTGGGGAAATGACAGCTGATCATCTAACCACCTAAGAGACCCTTGAGCCACAGCCAGTCATGCTCTGGGACACCACACAGCATTTATGCAACATGGGAAAATGCATCTTTATCCAGTGAGACCAGTCTCATAGTTCTCCTGCACGACATCCCTGTAGAGCTGCTTCTTCTGCCTTTTGTCCAAATGGCCTCACTCCTTGGTGAGATACACGGCCATATCACTGAATGTGAATGACACCTGAAAGGGGATCAACGTGAGCCACTTCCACATAGTGATCGCCAGTAACATCTCTGATGGCCAAGAGCTCCCGAATTGGCAAAAATGCCAAAGTGCACAAAGATAAAGATACGGATGCCTTTTTTGTCATAAGAAATAAGAATGACACCTGAAACAACCAGGGACCGTAGCAGGATCAGCCTCTGGTGGGTGGGAAATTCCACACCTCAGTCACAGATTGAGCAGTGACAGATACCTAATAGCATAAAAAATGCTCTCAGGCCTATGGCAAGGACTCAGGTGAAGGGGCTATCTGGATACAAGACCATGTTTGTGACTGTTTTAGGTAAGCAGGTGGAAAAAGATGAGAGGATAGGGCAGGGTAAGAGACAGCTAGGGGAGGAGCTCAGGGTAGAGATGGAGGCTTAGAAAACAGCATGAATGCAAAGAAGTCAACAGATGAAGTCAGCTTCAACAGCAACTTGCATGGGACAGCAGTCTCACTGAATCTTCCTCCTCAGTAATGGTTTTTCCTTGAGAAAGATCCAGCTTTTCTTGCTGTCACTCTCATAGGCTTCCCTCGGATCAACATCCAGCTCCCCCAGTCAAGACCAGCTTGGGAAGTCCTGGCAGCAATACATTCCTTTATCAAGATAGCTATAACAATTCTCTGAAAGACTAAGTTTCACTGTC